AGCCTCATGCCATGCCTCGTGGTCGTCCTGTTTCACAAGATGCGCCTCTAGGAGCAGCACCGCCAGCACTGAGGGAGCCCCCAAGCCTCCTGTGCAGGGTAGTTAACACCACTGCATATTAACCCTGCTTTAGGGATCCCTGGGTGGCGCAGTGGTTTGGCGCCTGCCTTTGGCTCAGGGCGCGATCCTGGAGACCCGGGATCGAATCCCACGTCGGGCTCCCGGTGCGTGGAGCCCTCTTCTCCCTCTGCCTGTGTTTCTGCCTCTCTCTCTCTCTGTGTGTGTGTGAGACTATCATAAATAAATAAATAAATAAATAAATAAATAAATAAATAAATAAATAAAACAAAACAAAAAAAAACCCCACCCTGCTTTACAGGGAACCAAGGAAGGTCAGGTTGGAAGCCAGTATAGAACCTGGATATCCCCCAGAGTCCTAAGTCTTCCTGCCTAGGGTGGTGCACTGCTTTGTTAATTTCTGAAGACACAAAGACTTGGAAGTGCAAGTGGCTAAAGCAAGTTCATGCTCCCATGCTTGGTCTTCTATAAATAACTCCAGAAGGTCCCCAGAGACACCTGGGTCTGGTCTAGCAGCCCCGCCTGCTCAGTCAGGTACCAGGGGTTAAAGAGCATCACCCAAGATGGTGAGATCCCCTCTTGAATGCTGGGCATCAAGAAAATTAAGACCTGGCCTTTGAATTTGGTGAACTCCCGGGTTATGAGAAGGAAGAGGGTTCTGCAAAAATCACTGGAAAACAGGGCCCCTCGAGCTAAGAAGAGAGGCATAAACAATGGAGCGGTGATGGGAGAAGGGGTGGCCTTTGTCCTTCCACTCAGGGTGGGAGACCAGGGCAGTCACAGAGAAGCCTTCCGTTGTGTAAGTTGATTAACAACCAACTTTTGACATCGCATTTGACTCCCCGAATTGGCCTTCAGAATCTCAACCTCAGTCTGAATTGGCCTTCAGAATCTCAACCTCAGTCTTAAACAACTTTGTTCAGATGGGGACCCAAGGCCTTTGGCCTGGGGCTATACCCTGTTCCTGCCAATTCCCATCAGGAGCAGGAAAAACGCAGAAGAATCGGCAGTAGGTGCACAGGTGCACGGACTTCTTCCAAGTATTGAACAGCAAGGGCAGAGATCCTCTCTGAAGCAAATGAAGTTGTTAAATGGTGAGATGCATTCAGATGGCAGTGAGAGGGAGCCTGTGTCTGTCAACTGAACTGCGTTAGGGCCAACAGCAGCTAATCTCTTTAATAAGGAGATCCAGAAATACACACAGAGACTTTTCTTTATATTTCTAAGCAGATCAGAAGGGTAAGCTGGTCTCATAACTCTATAGATGGAGTTCAGGACACTCTAGGGTGCTTCCACTCATTGTCATCAACCCAGGGAAATTTGCAAAAACTCCAAATCAAATAATTTTGGTTTACTGAAACTATTTTTTTTTTTTTAAACGAGTGACTGAAAGGTGTCCATCTCTGCTCGCTTCTACTTCTCAGGCAGCGGGCGGGGCTGCGGGGGCGCGCTGCAGGAGCTGGCTGCACACCTCAAGAGCGCTTCTCCAAACTCTGGTCTTGGGGTTGAATTCTGAGGGGAAGGTGGGAGCCAGGCAGTGGAGTTTCTCAGCCTCTGTGAAGACTAGCCCAGGGGCCCCAGACTGCCCCGGACACCTGGTCTTCTTCCTTTGACACCAACCACACGGACCTTAATTTCCTTTTGGCAGTGGCCTTCACTCAGTCCAGACCCCCAGAAAGCAAGACCCAGGCCAGCAAACAGCCTCTCTGAAGCCCTAAAGGCAAGCAAACAGCTATTTTCATTTTAATGAGTTTTATTGCTACTGCCGGGAGACAAGAGGGCTTACAAATCAGTAAACAAGCTGCTTTTTCTTCTTGATGTGTATGCAATTTCTCTAGATTCTGGCATGAATCGTTGGTAAAAGGCAGCACAATTAATGTTTTTCCTACAGCTAGGGTTTTTCTTTCATTTGGCTTTTTTTGGTTTGTTTTTATTTTTTTCTGACTTGCGGTTATATACCCACAGTATACTTGAGTATACCCACAGCAATAGACATTCAAAAATCTAGAACCACTGGGTTACAACTCAACAGCGGTAGAACCATAATAAGAAGCCAGGTTTGTCTGATACCCCAATCCACTCTCCACCCCGGGCCACACTGCCTTTCCTACGAAAAAATAAAAAGCATTTCTCATTTACCTCACAAGGACTAGTTCTCTCTGCAAATGGCAACCTATTTGCAGAATCAGGTCCTTCAGAGCAGTTTATATCATCAAGACTTAGGGAATACCTTAATTTTAATAACAGGGTATGTTAATACTTACTGTGTGCTAAATTCCAGGTAGACTGCAAAGGTTTACAAGCCACTCTCCCATTCCATACCCCCTCAAACCCAGTTATGAACAGTGGAATGGACTTGGATTTGCTCCATCCTCCACCATTCTGCCTTCCAAACAAAGTTGGGGGTAGGATGCCACAACAGGTGCATTCATTCAGGTTTCGGTCTTTAAATACACTGTTTATAATTTTGAGATATGCTCCTGTTGTAGGTGTTAAGATTAGGTGGACTGTTACAGAAATATAACTTAGTGTATTTTTTTTCTGATCCAAAGACAAATTCAACTAAATCAACAAATTGTGTAATTGATCTCCATATAAAACTTTTAAAAACCTCACAAATTAAAATAGTTAATGGAAACTGAAGTCTTGGAGACAATACAATTTCTTGAAATGTTGACTTATGTGTTGGCAGTTTGGATAAACTACCTTGTTCTTTCTTTTTTTTTTTAAAGTTTTTATTTATTTATTCATGAGAGAGAGAGAGAGAGAGAGAGGCAGAGGGAGAAGCAGGCTCCATGCAGGGAGCCCGATGTGAGACTCAATCCCAGGTCTTCAGGATCACGCCCAGGCTGCGCTAAACCGCTAAACCGCTGAGCCACCAGGGCTGCCCTCTTTTGTCCTTTCTATGCAGATTTTGTACATATAAATTAACACACATACCTCATTTTGTGTTCTTGTAGCAACATTGAGAATCTATTGTCTTTGTGTTCAAAGGGGCGCATTTCTAAAAGGGGAAAATGATTAACTTGGACTTGGGGTCTGGTCACTCACAAATGGCCAGCTAGTCCTTATTTGGAGCAAACGGCTCCAGACGTTTATCTTTCCAGGGAAAACCCCATTCCAGTGCTATTTAGATCTAAATTTCTAAGAAAGAAAGGGAGGAAGTGGTGAACTCAGAAAATAGGGCCTGCATTCAGTTGCTTAGTAATTGGGTGATGAGGACCAGGGGGAGTGGCTGGAAAAGGGTGCGTGGTGCTCAGATCTAGGGCTGCAGCCCCTCCAAGGACCCGGCTCCACCCTGCAGGGACAGTGTCCTAGCTGTCTGGCGTTCCTTCTTTAATGCCACCTGGTGCTGCCACCACACTCGGTGGGGAGAGGGCTCCCACACCCAGCCCTGCTCTCAGGGGGCACTTCGACTTGTAAATCCCCTGACTTCTTCTAACAGGCCTCTGGAAAGGCTAAAACCAACGCCAACCTTGAAAGCCAGGAAATTCCCAGTGGGAATTTATGTAAATTTGGTCAGTAACGAGAAACAGAAGCAGATCTCGATTCGGGTATTTTGGGCTTCAGGAAGAAAGCCCCAGGGCAGGAGGAAGCCAGTGCACCAGAGTTCACTACTAGCCCAGGGAACGCTCAGGCATGGTTGTGTCTTCACCAGAAATCGCCGTGCCCCCCGCCTCCCCCCTGGGCCCCGCGGAGGGCAGGTTCTGAGCCGGCACCCGCGCACCCCAGGCCCCCGGTGACGGCCAGGGGGGTGATCGCCCCCGCAGCACAACACTAGGGTCTCCCTGGGCCTCGCTGGTCAACCCTGCTCCGTCCTCCACCCCCCACCCAGGTATTTTTGACTGTTCCCCACCGAGCTTTGTCCTCCCAGGCCAGGGATCAAGCTAGTGCCCAGTGATTTCGTCCGCCCGGTGGTGGCCACCTTTGGGTCCCGAGCGCCTTGCACGGGCTGGCCCACGCACGCTCTCAACAGCGGTGGGAAGGGACGGGGGGAGACAGGCAGAGGGGGGTGTGGGTGTTCGTGTCCCTCGTGGTATCCGCTTCGGCCCCTCGACCCAGGCGGGGCCGCTTCTCCAGCCCAGGCTCACCGCGGCGCCTCCACGCACGGCGTCTCCACGAGGGTGCGGCCCCCCGCACACACTCCCTTCCCCGAGGTCAGGGGCCCCCCGCCGCACCTCACCCCCCGCCCCGGACACACCGGGAGAGGCCGGCCCCGGCGGCGGGGCGCTGGGACTGGACCGCGGCCGTGTCCTGCGGCCCCGCTCTGCGTTTGGCAGCCAGCCCCGGAGTCCGTGCCCGGTCGCGGCCTCACGCGCCTCTCGGTCTTGGCTCCGCAGATCCAGGCGCGGGGACGTCGGCCAGGAGAGGGGAGGAGGGAACCCCGCAAGCTCTGGCCTGGAGCCTTCCGTTGTCCCCAAATGCTCCTCCCCGAGCCCCCGGGACGCGGGCCTGGGGTGGCTCTTCTAGGAGCGAACTGCAAGCGGCGGCGAGGGCTCCGGGTGAGCGCGGGGCTCAGCGGGCGGCCCCCCGCGGAGGCTCGGGGCTCGGGGGCGGACTCTGCGTCCCGCGCAGCCCCTCGTCCTCCGTGCCCCGGGCCCGCGGCGACTCCCCCGGTCCTAAGCTTAGAGGGGAGCTGGCCCCGGAGCCCGGTCTCCTGGGGAGGTGGAAAAACGAGCTCGGTGGCTCCGCTGCCGAGAAAAATTCCCCCCGCGGCCGGGACCCCGGCGCCCGGGCTCTCCGGCTCCCGAGCCCGCGGCGGGCGCGCTGGCCCGCGGCGCCCAGAAGCCCCCGCTCGGCGCCGAATTTGCCGGGCCCGGCGCGGGGCGGGGAACCCGGGGCGCGGCTCCTCCCGCGCGGCCGCCCCGCCCTCGTCCCCGCCCGGTCCCCGCCCGCGCCCGCCCGCCCGCCGCGCCCGGAAAGCCCCCGCGGCTCCTCCCACCCCCGGGGGCTTCCTCCAGCCTCCGGCGACTTCGAGTCGGGGAGCGCGGCTGCCGGCGCTCGTTCCCGCCGGGCTGGAGCGCGCCGAGCGCGGCTGTTCGGGGGCAGCGGGGCCGAGGGAGGCGCGGTGGCCTCGGTGTCCCGGCCCGCGCCCCGGCCGCCGGGATGGTGTTGCTGGCCGGGCCCGGGCCGGAGGGCGGCGGGGCGCGCCGCGTGTCTCCGCAGACGCCGCCCCCACCCCGGGACGCTCCGGCCGGGGAGGACCCTGCGGACTACGAGGAGTACGAGGACTTCTCGTGCCTGCCCGACACCCGCAGCATCGCCTCGGACGACTCCTTCTACCCCCTGGGAGGCGAGGAGGAATACGGCACCGCGAGCGCCGAGAGCGTCCCAGAGGGCGTCCCGGAGGAGGCGACCCTCCTGCGCGCCGCCTGCGCCAACGACGTGGGGCTGCTGAGGGCGCTGGTGCGGCGGGGGCCGAGCGTGGAGGAGGCGCAGGAGACCGACCGCAACGGCCGGGTAAGGTGGCGTCCGCGTGGGGTGCGGGTCCCCTCGGCCTCCCCGCCGCCCTCGGTCCGATCGGCCCCGCCGGGACAACGCCGCGGCCCGGAGCCGGAGCCCGGGGCGGCGCTGCGCGAGGTCGCGGTGCCCTCACCACCTCTTGGTTGCCCGCCCCCGGGGCCCTCCTGTCCTTGCAGCCCCCCCGCCCCCGCCCGGGGGCCCGCGCTCGGATCCGGGTGGGGGCCCCGTCTCCGGGTCCGTTACCCTCCCCGCCTGCCGGGGAAGCGCCGGGTCCGGAGCCCTCGCAGCCGCCCCCCGCCCCCTCACACGGCCCTTGCCCTTGCCCCTCCACGCGCGGACAGCGCCGGGCTCCTCCGGGTCCCCGGGAGTGGGACTTTCCTCCCGGGCCCCCCGCCCCTGCCCCCGCCCCCGCCCCCGCAACCCCCAACTCCGCGGCGCCTGGTGACCCGCGTGGCGCCCGCGAGCAGGCTCTCCCTCCGCCCCGAGCCCCTGCGGCCGGGGGTCCCTGGGGGCCGGGCCTGGGAGGGCGCTGGAGGCGCCGAACCCCAGCCCCGCCCCGCCCCGGCAGGCAGGGCAGGGCAGGGCAGGGCAGGGCAGGCGAGGCTGGGGCGGAGGGATGCCCGGGCTCCCGGGAGGCATTTCAAGCTTCAGGGATGGTAGCAGGAAGCATTTGAAAGGGAAGGAAAAAGTTGGCTTTCGAAGACCGGAATGCCTGGTTCCCAGAACCACCTCCCAAACACCTGGGGGACAGACCGCAGGGATGACCGCGGCCACGTGCGGGGTAGCCGTGCTGGGAGCTCCGCGGCCGCGCCCCCGCGGCGTGTCACCTCCGGCCCCGTGGGGTCTCGCCTCGGCCTCGGCCTCGGCCTCGCACGGGTCCCCAGGGCCTTGCACGGGCTTGTCCGGACCGCGGTGCTTTTGCTCCCCAGCCCGTGGCTGACGCGAAAATTCCGCGGTTTTACTTGGGATCGGTGAGCCCGTACCTTCGGGTTATCGGGGGAGCCGGTGGTTTGGGTTCCTGTGGTTTGGGCTGGGCTTTAGTCGTGGAGGAGCTTCTAGTCAGTTTCTGCCAGGGTCGCACTTGGGCGGCTAACCTGACACAGCGTCTAAAAGCGGGATGCGACTGTGCCTGGTGTACCGCGTGGGGCCCGCTGGCCCAGAGGCCCCTGAACCCTGCTGCCGGCAGAGCCTGCACCCCCCTTCCCGGGGCCCTCGCTGTGGGTGGGCTGCTGGGGCTGCCTCTGCAGCTCTACTTTGGCTTTACTAGGTGAGTGTTCACACACCCCTGTTTGTAGACCTCCCTGGCCTGAAGCGAGTGGCAGGGACTGCTTTTAAGGAAGCCCCACAAAGATCAAACACGGTGTATGGGGGCAGGGTAGGTCCCATGTCCTGGGCAGCCTGGGGTCTCCAGCAGGCTAGGGTGGGCAGAGGTGGGGCCACTTTGAGGCTCCACTGGGCCCAGCTTTATTATGTTTTTCTTTTGGGGGCAAAAAAAAAAAAAAAAAAAGTTTGGGGACAGCTGCATTCTAGCCATCTGAGAAGGATGTAAGCAGACCATGGCCAGGGGGTCTGGGCTACCTTTGAAAGCCACTCCGTCAGCATATAGTCTGAGGAGGGCAGTGGAACTGTACAGAACAGGATCCAGCCTCTCTGCCTTGGTTTCCTAGTTGTACCTCCCAGGGTGGACAAGAAGCCCCCCTTAGTGCACGGGGCACATGGACAGCCCTCGTTTACCATCTTGTCCTGTTTTACTAGCCTCCGGGCCCCAAAGAACACCTCCTCCAGCACTTTTTTCTGCCAGGCAAAGCTCTTTTTCTCTCTGCTTTTGCCTTTGAGTACAGTCTCTCTCTGTTTCTCCACGTTGAATGTCCTCCTCCCTGCTCCCCACCAAATCATGATGGAGAAATGGTACATGGCCAAAAAACTTCAAGACCTGTGGGCTCTTGTGTCTTCTGATCAGGAGCAAGTCTTGCCTTATTATTATTATTTTTTTGATTAAAAGAAAATTTTTTTAAAAAATTTTTTATTTATTTATGACAGTCACACAGATAGAGAGAGGCAGAGACACAGGCAGAGGGAGAAGCAGGCTCCATGCACCGGGAGCCCGACGTGGGATTCCATCCCTGGTCTCCAGGATCGCGCCCTGGGACAAAGGCAGGCGCTAAACCGCTGCGCCACCCAGGGATCCCAAGAAATTTTTTTTTTAAGTCTTGCCTTATGTGCCAGAGGCCAGAGCTTCTATTTTTCCCAGTGGCTCCTAGATTCTGTTGACCAAACAGCCTCCCTCTTCCTATAGAAACTGTGAATAAAATGTTGTCAAGGGCAAACGCATGGCCAATGGCAAATGGGGTAGCGAGTCACTGCAGAAGGATTTCTTGCAGACATACTGTGTGCAAGGCAATGGCTAGGTACTGTAGGAGCCTGGAAGAGAAATCCGACAGTCCTTGCTTTTGAGAGTCAACCTTTTATTTGAGGAGAGAACTCAGAGTATCTGCTGCTTAGAGGGAAAGACTACCCAGTACTTAGAGCCCAGAAGGCAGCCTAGAGAGATGTGGAGCAGGTGTAAGCAGCTCTGACAGTCCTCGGAGCCTAGTGAGGAAAGACTTGGGGGGCTCTGGAGGGGAGGAAGTTCTGGTCTGTCGACTGAGCCAAGAGCGTGGTCGTGGGGTGGGGGCACAGTATGGTTGGTTGTGCTGTGGTCCAGAAAGGGGGCAATATGGGAGCCAAAGCTGGATAGGCCAACCCATGCCTGATAGTAAGAGGCCAGCCCAGAGGACCTAAGAAACAGGAATTTGAGAAGGGAACTGGTTTTGTTCAGTGTGACTGTGTTCAACCTTGGGGCTTAGGTGTGCCTCTGCAGATGGTCACATGACTGGCTAACTCGCTGCCTTCAGGTTCTTGCCTCAGGCACACCTCAGGGAGGGCTTTTGTCCTACCCCAGTCTAGCCAGCAGCACCTGGAGCCAGGTAAGCACTATCCAGGGGTTCAGGGAACGAGGAGTGGTCATTTGAGAGAGCCGTTGACATTTGACTAAGATGTAGAGAAGATGATGTGGGGGAAAACATTCCTGGTAGAGGGAGTAGCAAGTGCAAAGGCCCTGAGGCATGAGACCTTTGGTCCTGATCTATAAGCTTAATCACAATTAGTGACCGTAAAAACCTCACAGAAAGCCCTAGAGAGAAGTTTGGTGGAGTAGAGGGGTACTTGCTTGAACAACAGAACGTGTAGCTCACAAGCTGCCCACAGCCAGCTTCCTCAAAGAAAAATGTCTCTAAAGGCTTTGAAGGGAATTCTGGGTACATTTGTTGAGCTAATCTCTGGTCAGTTAAGAAGGCAGTTCTGCTGGAGCTGACAGATGTTTCATTCGGTTTGGGTAACTAAGGATCAGATGTGTCTTGTTTTAAGAAAATGTGTTCTTTCCTGGCTCCTGAGATGTGTAGTATCTTGGATGTGGCTCAGCATACAATTTTATTCTAAAATATTTATTGCTCTAAAAGGATTGCATAATTTAATATGCAACATGTAAATATTTGTCAAATAATTCTCCAGTAACATTCAAAATGTGCTCTTGCTGTCATTTAGATTTATGGTTGTTTCGTTCGCTCCGACTTGGCGACAGTGAAGGCTGCCATAATTCTTCTTCTTAATTCTGTTCTTCCTCTTATTATCTCTTGAGGTTCACCTTTATGGCCGTGACAGCTCTGGAGACGGCACTGACACCACAAGGATGGCTTTGTGCTGCTTTCATCATTGTAGAAAGGCAGTTCGAATGTCAGACAGCTCTTGAACCAAATTAGGCCCAATTATGCCAAATTTAAAATATTGCCCTCCTTTCTTGATGTCATTCTTCTCGTGCACATTTGAATTCTAGGGGCTCTCCAAAGGCCCCTCCCCTCATTTGCTCTCTAGGTCCGCAAAGCCCACATCACACACCCAGCGTGTGGGGCTATCTCCCTTCACTCTTGAGGGCCGCAGTGTTTTATAGGTTCGCAGCAGTGACCAGGACCTTTATCTTGACACACACACACACACATACACGAGAAAAAAACTTGTGTTTGATTTATGTTTTTGTTTTCCGAATGCCACAGGGGGATTTATAAACTTTGGAACCACCTTTTCCCCCAAATGAGAATCAGGTTGTTTGGCATTCACACCCAGCCCTCTGCCTTTACCAGGGCTCAGTACTTGTGCTTAGAATGGGGCTATTTCTGATCAATTTGAGGGTCATCCAGTTGGGTGGGGGGCTGGGGGGCCTGTAGAGAGGGAGCCTGGCTTTGCTGTTTGGGGATGTGTGTTAGTGTGTTATTTCTGATGTGTGGGGGGTAAGGAAGGGAGAATGAGCAGATTAGGCTGGAGCCCAAGGGGGCAGGAGCAGAGAAGCAGTGGACTGAAGTGGGCATGCGGCAGGCAGGCTGGCAGGTGTCTGCTGCTTTCCTCCCCATGGACGGTGCCAGTGGGAGGGTGGGGGTGGGGGGGATGAGGGCTTTGCTCTGGGCCCAGCAGCAGTAGAGGCCCATGTGTTTTTTTGTATCTTTGTTTTTTTTAAGAACTTAATTTTTTAAGAATGGTTTTAGATTCATAGCCAAATTGAGGGGAAGGTACAGAGATTTCTCCTTTACCTCCTGCCCCCAACACACGCTCAGGCTCCCCCATCACAAGTACCTGCAAGCAGAGTTGTGCGTTTGTTACAACTCATGAATTACGCGGACACATTACCCACCGAAGTCCATGGTTTACACTAGGGTTTACTCTTGGTGTGTTGTACATTCTGTGAGTTTGGACAGATGTGTAGGGACATGTATCCATCATTATAGTATCATTAAGAGTATCCTGTGTGTGTGTTTTTTAAAAGATTTTATTTATTTGAGAGAGAGAGTGCGCAAAGCGGGAGGGAGGGGCAGAGGGAGAGGGAGAAGCAGTTTCCCTGGCAGGGAGACCAAAGCAGGGCTCGATCCCAGGACCCAGGGATCATGACCTGAGCTGAAGGCTCAGGTGCC